TCGCAGCCAGTGAAGGAGTCTGGAGATCATCCTTAAGGCAGTGGGAATTCACTGAAGGATTTTAAATCCTTTAAGTCATAGAGGCACATGGTCAAGTCTGTCTTTGGGAAAGATCCCTCCTGGCACACAGTGCAGAGAATGCAGTGAAGAAGGGGGACAAGTCAGGAGGCCGTTGTAAAATCTAGAGACTTCTGGAGCCTGAACAAGAAAGATGTTAGTGAGGAAAGAATTCAAAAAAACTCAAGAAACTAAGATTTGCACTTAGTGATTGTGTCATGGTTAGGAATAAAGGAGAGGATGACATCCAGTTTTCTGGGTCAGGGCAAGTCACTAGACAAAGACGCCATTCAGTAAGTTAGGGAACACAGGAGCAGCAGCAGATGGGAGGAGGGGTGATGATAATGAGTTCATTTTGAGATTGTAAAATTCACATTTAAGTGGGAAGGAAAGAAGATGAGCTTAGGGATAACAGATAAAATGATAAATAAAAATGATGCTAAAGAACTAGAGTCAGGAACAAGGACATAGAGCAGATTTAACTGCCCTAAGGATAGAAGAAAAGGCTCTGGTCACAGAAAGCAATTTCAAAGTTTGAGATATTCATAGCGCTTCAATTACTATAGGAGTTACAATAGAAAAAGGGTTAATATTAAGACTTAAGAAGGCCGGGGCCAGCTCTGTGGGCTAGTAGTTAGGGCAGCCAGATCCCACATGGCTGACTGCACAGTTTGAGTCCCAGACCCAGAAGCTTGAGAAACATGCCAGGTGCATGTGCGTGCAAGTCCAAAATCCCAAAGGGAAGGAGAGATGGAGAAGAAGGATTGCAGCGTGACCATTTCCCATGGGGTGTGTGGGGTGCTTTCTCCTCTCCCTGTCTGCCTCTATCTGGTGAGCACATGCATCTGGTGAGCGCATGTGCCCTCTGGCAAAAAAAGAAAAACAAAAGGCCAAAGTGTGTTAGTGTTGCATATATTAACTAATGGATGTTGAAACCTTTGAGGATGAGGAAAGAAAGAAGACAGGGTGGAGAAAAAAAGGATCAGATGCTAAAGCTCTTAAAAAGAGTCAAAGAGTATTTTCTAGAGAGTTTTTATTGATTAAGATTAGGGAGAAGAGCGACTACACTGATTTCAAAGAGAGATAACCTAATTTCAAAAACTGAATCTATTGCTAGTAGGTGCCAAAACAAAGCCCTAGAAATGGTAGTAAAAAGGGAAGTAAATGTGGATTCCTTCATCATAGCCACATGAGATGAAATGAATAGTAGGACCAGCAGTTGGTGTAATGGCTATGTTGCTGGACTCCCATGTAGTTGACCACGGTTCAAGTCCCACACTCAGTGGTTTAAAGTCAGGCTGGGTGCGTGTGCGTGCATGCCCAAGATCCCAAGAGGAGAATGGAGGAGAAGGGACTGCGGCATGGCCATCCCACCTGGGGTGTGATTTCTCACTTTCTGTCTCTCTCTGTCTTTCTGGTGAGCGCACGCGCCCTATAGCAAAAACCTCTCAAAAAAAAAAAAAAAAAAAAAAAAAGAAAGAAAGAAAATGAATGACAAAAAAGCCTGCACTGGAAGTTTTCTTTTCTTTTCTTTCTCTTTTCTTTTTATCTTTTCTTTCTTTTCCTCCCCTCTTCTTTTCTTTTTCTCTTCTTTTCTTTTTTTTAAGAGGGACTTTTACTATAGGGCATGTGTGCTCATCAGAGAAACAGAGGGTAAGAGAGACAGAGAGACAGAAAGTGAGAAATCATCCCCCAAGGGGAAGGCCACTTTGCAATCCCTTCTCCTCCATTCTCCTCTTGGGATTTTAGGTGTGCCACACACATGCACCCGGCGTGAGTTTTAAGCTATTGGGTGGGGGCTTGAGCTGCAGTTGACTATGTGGGATTCCAGTGACGTAACTGCCATGCCATCTGCTAGTCCTGGAAGTTTTATTTTTCTATTATTTTCTTTTAAAGACAGAGTCTTGCCAGGTTGCCCAGGTTGGACTGAAGCTCATGATCTTCCTGCCTCAGCCTCTTGAGTAGGTGAGTTTACAGGTATGCACCATCATGCTTGTCTCACTGGAGGTTTTCAAGGTTATGATATCATCAAGGCACGACAGTTCAGAAACATGGAGAAACAGGAGCAGTGTTAGAGGAAACAACTAAGTATGTTAGGGATTTTGGTAAAAACTAAACCTGAGTTTCAGAAGACAGAGAGGTATTAGTAATAAAATTGTAATGAGTGAGGATCAAATGATCTAAGAAGAGTTAGGGAGAGGACCAGCAGATGGCATAATGGTCACATCGTTGGATTCCCATGTAGTCGACTGTGGTTTGAGTCCCGGACCCGGTGGCTTAAACTCATGCTGGGTGCTTGTGTGTGCACGCCCAAGATCCCAAGAGGAGAATGAAGGAGAAGGGATTGCGGTGTGGTCATCCCCCCTAGGGGGTGATTTCATGCTTTCTGTCTCTCTCTGTCATTCTGGCTGGGTGGCCTAAAAAAAAAAAAAAAAAAAAAAAAACCTCTCCGAAAAAAAAAAAAAAAAGAGTTAGGGACAAACTAGACATAGAAAAATGGATAAGGCAATGGCTAAAAAGAGGTTTAATATAGAATTGAATAATTCCAGGCCAGCCCTTGGCCTGGTGGTTACATGACCACATGGTTGCAGTCCCAGACCCAGCAGTTTAAAGAACATGTTGGATGCATGTGCTCAGAATCTTGAAAGGAGGGAGAAATGGAAGAGAAGGGCTTGTGGCATGGGGCTTGTGGCATGACCACTCCCCATGGAGGGTGTGTTTTGTTTTCACTTTCCCTCTTCTCCTCTGTCCCTCTCTCTGACTAGCACACAAGCCTTCCCTTCTCTATTCTCCTCTTGAGATTTTGGGCATACATGCATACACATCCAGCATGAGTTTTAATCCACCAGGTCTGGAACTCAAACCACAGTCAACTACATGAGAGTCCAGCAATGTAACCATTACACCATCTGCTAGTTCCAGTACACAAGCTTTCT